TCAACCATGGTGGGCCAGGCACAGCTGGCGAATACGTTAGACATGTCCTTCATCGTCGCGGTGTAGATGTAGCCTGCTTGCCCGGCACGGTATCCCATCACTGCGATCGTCACGATGGCGCCCTCCCGTCTCTTGCCTTAGACGAAGCCGTAGTCCTGATCGGCGCGCGTTTGAGCCTTCCGCCGTGCCATGCATGATGAGTAGAAAGTTTTGCCGGATCGGTCCATGATATGGTAGATGCGTTTGCCTGCTGGGCCCGACTTGTTGTCCTTCTCTACTGCTGTGGCCGCGCTCGGGCGCCAACGCACTGGCGTCGCGTTCTCGAGCCTGGCGGACGCGAATGCCGCTCGAAATAGTTATTGGAAGCCTTCTGGTTGAAGAGGTGGTGGGAGCGCCCCCAGTCCTTGTCGTTGTTGTTGAGGCTGGTCCTCGATAGGGCACAGTAGTACGCGCGAGAGTTCGCTGGGGGCTGCTGTTGGCGGGGCTGCCCGTCGGAATTTCGCCTTCTTAAGTCGTCTCGCGGCGACCTCCATGTCCTTCGCCACTATCTCCTCCAAGTCGTCGTCGCAGTAGTCTATCCAGTCGGCCGTGGTAGGTATCTGCACTATCGCATCGCTGTTCTGCTCGGTGCCTTCCATGCCCCCTAATCCTCCTGGTAGTTGCCAAAACTCCAGCCACTCCTGCTCCGTAAGGTTGGCGGTAACCATTGTCCAGTAGTCTCGTTTGCGCGGTCCGCATTTGCCTCCCGAAATCAGCCTCGACTGCCGGCCTACGCGTGCGAGGTCTCGTCGTTCCCATGCCTCGCACAGCTCCTCAACCCTGGCGCCTGTCTTCTTCTGATACTCCCGTTTGCGCCAGGCCGCGCAGGTGGCGGTGATGCTCCTCAGCTCGCGCTCGATGTCGTCCAGGTTCAACGTAGTTGGTGCGTCGTAAGGGTTGTCTCCGTCGACGCGTGTTGGTAGGTAGTCAACCCTCGCGGCGTCTTCGTCTGCGATCGCGATGCACAGTGCGTCTCCTTCTCGTCGTAGTCGTTCGCGTAGGTCTTGGGGACGTCTTAACAGTTCCGTGCGTCTGCCTTGGAGGATATGATACGCTTCTGGTCGTTGCTGCGTTGTCCGTGGAACCTCTGTGCCGAAGTGATGATGATCTGGTTCACGTCAACGAACAGCTGGTCGATGCCTTTGCCCTGTATGTCGTAGTTCTCGATATGGTGCTCGACGTCCTGAATAAACTCGTCTACGTATAGTTCATTACGCGCTGCTGCTGCCAGTTTGTCGTTGCCCCACCGTACTGCAGGTCGTTTGGGTCGAACTCTTTGGCGTAATGGAATGCGAACTGTAGCCTGGACTGGTACATGGTCTTTGTGCCGTCGGCTGCATAGTCTAGTGCCCATGCGCAGCAGCAGCCCCTGTGAGATGAGGTTGTTGGCCAGCGCGGTTGGTATCATTATGTAGTCGACGCAACTGCCCGCAGCCCCTCCGAAGAATGTGGGTCGCCAGGCACATGTAGTATCCGCCACTGTACGTCCATGCCGTTCCGCGTACTGTCTTGCTTTGTGGCACGCTCCTCCAGGTAGCTTCTCCTTTGCCCGTCCTGGTCCCAGCGAGGGGCTGTCTGGGTGCTCGTTCTTGTTGGTGCTGCCTATGCCATCGTTCAAATCCCCCGCTGCAAGCAACAAACTGCCTCTAGGTCGGGCGGCCGCAACTGAGTCCATCCATCTGAACAGCCGTGCTATGGTCGCGCAGTTCTGCTTGCGGTCCGCTGTCGTCTCTGGCTGTGGCGGGCAATATTAGCCGAAGGCTGTGGGCTGAGTGTCGTGTTGCTGCAGCTGGAGTGCTAATCCTCTTCCGCATAGTTCCTCAGGCGGCTCCTGTACGTTGATCACTTGCGCCCCTCGGAGTTTGCCTTGGAGCGCCATCGTTATGCCCGTGCCCCTGTTGGTGAGAGCGCCCCTCCTCCAGCCCGATTCGTAGACTTGGTGCCCTGGATCCTCCGCTGTTGAGGGTGCTGTTCTCGCCGCCAGCTTTGTGTTCCTGTCAAAACGATGATACCGAAGTTGGTTGCTTCCTCGAAGGTCTCCTGCTGCCTGTCAGGGTTCGCACAAGACGGATTGAACAGCAGCAGCGCGAGGGACGCAGTCCATGCCGTGGCCGCCATGCGGGCCTCTGCCCAGTCAATCTTTCCTCCACATGCTGTGGAATGGCGGAGCGTGTGCGCGCGATGCCCTGACAATCTCTGAGGCCCAGATGGCAGCTGGGGGGGAAGGAGGAGGAGGAGGAGCAGCAGCAGCAGCATCAGCAGCAGGAGGGGAGCGCGAGGAGGGGAGGGGGAGGAGGACCAGGAGGAGGAGGAACAGGCCCTCGGCCCCCAGGAGGACCCCCAGAAGGACCCAAGTGGCCTCCAAGAGGCCCCCAAGAGGCCCCAAGATGCCCCCAAGAGGCCCCCAGGAAGCTCCAAGAGGCCCTCAAGAGGCTCCCAAAAAGCCCCCAGGAGGCTCCCAAGAGGCCCAAAAACTGCCCCGAAGAGACCCCCGCCCTAGAGCGCTCCGAAGAGACCCCAAGAAGCACCCCCGAGGACTCTGACCCACAACCCAGACACGGTGGCGGGATGGGCCGAAGGCCAGTTGGTGTGTGTGTGTGTGTGTGTATATATATATATATATATATATAGAATCCTCTTCCTATATTTTTACAAGCCCGGGGGGGGGGAAACCATCCCCCCCCCCAAAAAAAACTGTACCCCCGGGATCTGGGGTTCTCGGGCTCCCTTGGACGTCCTTGGAAAAGATCACCCGGCTTCTCGGGTCTCCACAAACGCCTTGCCAGCAGACCCAGAGCGATCCAAGTTCTCATCAGAAAGGCTCAAGGGAGTCCCCAGACAGCACAAGAGCGCTCCAAGAGGGACTCCAATTGCGTCAGGACGGCCCACAAGACCCCCAGGGCACCCCGAAAAGCTTTCCAAGGGCTAAAATCGTCCCATTCCCTTCGTAGAACTTACAATTTTAGCATATTCGCCTTTCGGATTTCATCAGCTTTCAAGACGGTTTCAAAGCCCCCGAGATCGCCTCCAGACGCCCCAAAAGGCCCCCAAGAAAGCTTCAAGACGGCCGAGCCGGGCCCCACGATCGCCCACGAGAGCCCCAAGACAGCCCATAATGGAACCAAGAGGCCCCCCAAGGGCTTCCAGCACAGACCCAAAAGGGCCATGGGAGGTCCCCGGAAGTGCCCAAGATGGGTCCAAAGGGGGCTCCAGCGGGCCCAAGCTCCCCAAGACGGCCCAAGAAGGCCCCAGGACGGCCCATGAAGGCGTCAAAACGGCCCACGAGGGCCCCGAAAACACCCCCACGATGTTTCCGAATGCCAACATAAAGACCCCCAAGGCACCCCAAAAAGCTTTCCAAGGGGCCTTCAAAACACAACAAATCGTCCCATTCCCTTCGTAAAACTTACAATTTTAGCATATTCGCCTTTCGGATTTCATCAGCTTTCAAGACGGTTTCAAAGCCCCCGAGATCGCCTCCAGACGCCCCAAAAGGCCCCCAAGAAAGCTTCAAGACGGCCGAGCCGGGCCCCACGATCGCCCACGAGAGCCCCAAGACAGCCCATAATGGAACCAAGAGGCCCCCCAAGGGCTCCCAGCACAGACCCAAAAGGGCCCATGGGAGCTCCCCGGAAGTGCCACAAGATAGGGTCCAAAGGGGCTCCACGGGCCCAAGCTCCCCAAGACGGCCAAAAGGCCCCAGAAGACGGCCCATGAAGGCGCCAAAACGGCCCACGAGGGCACCGACAAAAAAACCCACGATGTTCCGATGTTTCCGACAACATAAAGACCCCCAAGGCACCCCAAAAAGCTTTCCAAGGGGCCTTCAAACCACAAAATCGTCCCATTCCCTTCGTAAACCTTATAAGTTTAGCATTTTCGCCTTTCGGATGTCATCAGTTTTCAAGACGGTTTTAAAGCCCCCGAGATCACCTCAAGACGCTCCAAAAGGCCCCCAAGAAAGATTCAAGACGGCCGAGCCCGGCCCCACGATCGCCCACGAGAGCCCCAAGACAGCCCATAATGGAACCAAGAGGCCCCCCAAGGGCTCCCAGCACAGACCCAAAAGGGCCATGGGAGGTCCCCGGAAGTCCCCAAGATGGGTCCAAAGGGAGCTCCAGCGGGCCCAAGCTACCCAAGACGGCCCTAGAAGGCCCCAGGACGGTCCGTGAAGTCGCCAAAAAGGCCCACGAGGGCCCCGAAAACACCCCCACGATGTTTCCGAATGCCAACATTCATTGATATTGCTCCCATGACATTTTACACTGTGACCCAGTCGTTGAGGGTCTCGTGGCATGCAGCGAAGATGCCCGAGGATGCCCCGTACGAGTTGCACATGCATGTTCATACCCTTACACACATAATTTATATGTACATAGTACGCTGTATACACACATACAACAATGTAATATATATACACCTAGACATTTCTACGGAACGTGCATGCACGTGCGCGTGTATACATGCATGCGCGCATGTACTCACGCACGAATTCCGCATTGCAACAATGCAGATATGGCATACACCTAGACATTTCTACGGAACGTGCATGCACGTGCGCGTGTATACATGCATGCGCGCATGTACTCACGCACGAATTCCGCTTGCGTGCAGAACTCAAAGGACCAAGGTGCATGGCGCGCAGCGCCAATGCAATCTTGTGTATATATATATATGTATACATATATATATATACATATATATATATCAGAGAGAGAGAGAGAGAGAGAGAGAGAGAAAAAAAAAAAAAAAAAAAAATGTTGGAATGATCGTTGTTCCGAAGTCTGGTCGCCTTCACCTGTCAACGAGAGGGAGGAGAGCGTCCACTGTGACACGGGCGCCGGGTGCTTCGAGTTCGTCCATTAACAGCTCTGTATATGTTAGCGCTAACCCCCGTTGCGTGTGCCCCGAGAGCCCCTGGAAAGCTGCCCGTCCCCCGCGCATGCGCATGCGCGCGGCGCCTCGCCGTCGCGCCCGCACCCCGTGAAGGCGAACACCGCGTCCTTGCGGCGCCACGCGAGCGAGGAGAAGAGACGTGAGCGAGGAGAACGCCTCCTCCTCCTCCTCCTCCATCCTCTCTCCTCCTCCTCCTACTCCTCCTCCTCCTCCCCCTCACACCCTCCCACTCCTCCTCCTCCTCCTCCTCCTCCTCCTCCTCCTCCCTCCTCCTCCTCCTCCTCCTCGGTCCTCCTCCTCCTTCCTCCCCGCCTCCTCCACCTTCCTCCTCCTCCTCCTCCATCCTCCTCTCCTCCTCCTCCTCCTCCCCCCCTTCCCACCCGCTACACCTCTACCGCTCCTCCATCTCCTCCTCCTCCTCCTCCTCTCCTCCTCCTCCTCCCTCCTCCTCCTCCCTCCTCCTCCATCCACCGACGCAATCCCCTCGCCCCTCCTCCTCCTCTTGCCCTACCTCCTCCTCCTCTTCCTATCTCCCTGATCTTCCCCCTCCTCCTCCGCCCCACCTCCTCCTCCTCCTCATCAACATCATCATCATCATCATCATCATCACATCATAATCATCATCATCAATCATCAGCATCACATCATCATCATCTTCATCGATCATCATCATCATCATCATCATCACATCATCATCATCATCATCAGCCATCAGCATCAGCATCAGCATCATCATCATCATCATCATCATCATCATCCATCCATCATCATCTTCATACATCATCCTCATCATCGTCATCATCATCATCGTCAACATCATCATCATCATCATCATCATATCATACATCATCATCAGCATCATCGTTCATCATCATCATCATCATCAAATATATCATCATCGTCATCACGACATCATCGTCACCATCACCACACACCATCCTCACCACCACCACCACAATCATCACTACCACCATCACCATCATCAGTATCATCATCATCATAATCATCCTCATCATCATCATCGTTATCATCATGATCATCATCGTCATCATCATTATCATCAGCAGCAGCATCATCATCACCATCATCATCACCATCAGCATGATCATCATCATCATCATCATCATCATCATCATCATCATCATCATAATCATCACCACCACCACCATCATCATCATCAGCATCATGAGCGTCATCATCATAATCATCATCATCATCATCAACACATCATCATCATCATCATCATCATCATCATCATCATCATCATCATCATCATCATCATCATCACCATCATCGCTCCTCACCCTCCTCCTCCTCCTCCTCCTCCTCCGCGGGCTGGAGCGCCAGCGGGCAAAGCTCGAGCCAGAGGCTGCCAGAGGCGACCATGGCCCGAAGCGCCACCAGGCCTCAGCGCCACGCCGGAGCCCACGGGCGGCCGCGGCGACTGGCGCCCCGGAGACCACCCCTGCCGTCGCTCGGGCGCCCATTCCCCGTGCCTTTGTTGGATTCGGATTGGATTATCTTTTTGGATTATCTGTTTGGATTATGTTTTGGTTCTGTTTGGGGTGCTTCTTATTTTTCGTCGAAAATCCCTCTGTATGGGGGACAGGCCCGACTGAATCCTATCGGCGATGAATGGGCGATCCAGGGTCGATGCTTCCCCCCCAGGATGCTCCTCGATGGCCCTCGCCGAGCAAAAGATGCACACGTCCGAGCGACGCCAAGCACCTGGGCGACGAAAAGAAACGGGCCTCACGCGGCACAGCGACACCTCGCGCCGCGGTGTGCGCGGGCCGCCAGCGTGAGTGACACGCCGACCGGAGAAGAGGGCGCTTGCGCTTAGGTCGGGCATGTCCTCTGACAGGCGGATTTGGCAGGATTTTTGTTGACACGAGAAATGTAAGTGAATATTCGAAAATAGTCCAAAAATAATCCAAAGATCGACACCAAACTATGTTTTGACTATTTTTGAAAATTCTTCCTGCAGAGGGACATGCCCGATTTGAGCTCATGCGCGACCTTACGCGGGCAGCTCACGCGTCAACGTCGGTGAAGGCGAACCCTTGCTTCTGCGCCGCTCACGTGGGCGAGGAAAAGAAGCGGGCCTTACGCGAGGTGGCATAGCGACTTCGCTCGGCGGCGGGCCCAGGAAGGACTGCCGAGGGGGCGGGCCTTCTCCGAAGGGTCGGAAGACCTCTCGGACCTTCGGAGAAGTTTGCGGCGCCTTCCTCCAAGAGCACAGAGGGCTCTCTCTGAAGGCCGGAGGGCTTCTGAAGAAGCCCCGCCCGTTTCTGCGAAGGCCTGCCCCCTCTCGCCACGCTGGGCGCGCCGCCGACCTGCGCGGTGGCCTATCACGTGATGAGCAGCGAACGTGTCCATAGCCACGCCCTCGCGGTCTGAAATCCGAGTCGCGATCCCGCGGGCGGTCGCACGGACTTAAGCAGGGACCGACCGTCCCGGCAGTCTTACAGGCCCAGCACGACATGTTCCTAGAACCCAAACGTGGTCTAAGAAACATGGTGCTAAGAGCACGAACCATGAACTCAGAACATACACCCGATGTGTCAAACCAAAACACAACATCGGCCAGACATGTTCATGAGAACACTTCCTGCAGACCACAAGAAGTTCTTGGAGCACTCTCTGGTCGGGTGTTCCTAGAAGTGCCCCTGGCCGAAGGTTGCCCCAGCTTTTCGCTCCGTTTTGGAGCCCCTGGGGCCCTCTGGGCCTCGGGAGGGGTGCCCCGGAGGCCGACTCGGCCACCCCGAGAATCCTGGGGGCACCCTGGGTCAGGGGCACTTCTGGCAACACCCGATCTGGTGGGCATCACAGGCAAGCCGGGACGCTTCGCCTCTGCTTGACGGACACGCGCCGCGCGGGGCACCGGCGAATGAGGACGCCCCGTGTGCGCGGGACCGCGCCGTTCTGCTGCTGCGCCGCCCGTGTCTGGCAGGGCGGGCGGGCCCGTCGACCCTGGCGCGCTGCCGGGGTATCGCCGCTTCGCCGCGGGGTCGGCCGGGCTTCGCGTCTGCTCTCGATGCCCTGAAGCCTTCGAGCCTCGACTTAGGTCGGGCAGGTCCTGTCATGCAGGCGGACTTTGGAAGAGACATAAAAGGCAAGTCAACATGGATTCAACAACACATAACTAGTCAACAGCAGGAGAAAAATCATTCTCTGCTTGTTGTTTGACTGTTTTTGAATGTTCCTCCTGTAGGGCGGCATGCCCGACTTGATCCTCGATACTCGACTTCCGTTGTTGGTAAGTGAACCAACTGGGGGGGGAAAAAACAGTGCGACCCTACCTAGGAGTTGGAGCCCCTAGGAAAGCAGCATTAGTAGCAACAGGAAAGTTAAGCTACAGCTAAGCTAAAGCTAAGCTAAAGCTAAGCTAAAGCTAAGCTAAAGCTAAGCTAAAGCTAAGCTAAAGCTAAGCTAAAGCTAAGCTAAAGCTAAAGCTAAAGCTAAAGCTAAAGCTAAAGCTCCCAGGGGACTGGGGGAACCGCGGGGCGGATACCAGGGGAACCGCCCGGGGCGATTTCCACTGCCCGGCCCTTTAAGCAGATAGAGTAAGAACCCTTCTAGGCAGAGCCTAGGTAGGGAATAAGCATACATCATATCGTCGAGGCCCTCGATCCTCGACCCTCGGTCGTCGATGAAGCAAGCTCTCGATCATCCGAGGGGGCCTGGAGTCTCGGTCGGCGGCGGCGGCGGCGGGGCGAGGGCGCAGCCAGCCCGGGATTTCCGACACGGGCGCGGCGACGAGCTGTACGGCAGCCTCGACGCCCCAGCATGCCTCACCGCACGGCCCGTCACCACTCGGTTTTGGGGGGCCGCGGATGCCCTGTGTCGCACGAGGCACCCTGGGAGCACGACCGCCCAGATCCCAAGACCGTGCGCTGACCCGGAGTCTCCACTGCTTCGCTCGACGGTGGGGCTGCTGCACCGCTGTGGGACGCCCCGAAGGAGCTGTCGGGCGGGTGGTAAGATGGGGAGTGGCCGAGTGGGGGGTTCAGACAAGGGCCCTGCAGAGGGGCCCTGCGGGGCCTCTTTTGGAGCCCGGGAGGGCCTCTCTCGGGGGGCCTTTTTCTTCAGCCCCCATGCGGGCCACCCCCCATTACCGCCCGCCCGCAGCTATGAGCGGCCTCTGGTCTGCCGCCCGCGGGCCCACGGCGCACGCCTCCTTCGTTCCCCGCGGACGGCCGCCCGACGCCCTCCCTGCCCCTCGCACGCGGCGCCGCGTGGCGCATCCTGCTGCAGGGACCACCCGTACTGGTTGCTCAGGATCCCCTTGCGCCGCCGCCGTCGTCGTCGCTGCCGCCGTCGCCTCGGGGCCCCAAAGTCGAGCGGCGACAGAGCGAGTGGTGACCTCGGACCCCCCAAAGACCTCACCGCGCGGTCCGTCACCGCGCCGCCTTGGGAGCCTGGAGGCCCCAGCCGCCCGAGACGCCCTCGGATCGGGCGTTGGCAGAACTGGGTTTAGTGGGACCTGGTTCAGTGATGTGTACTGGGGGACGCCCCCCCCGCCCCGTTCCACTGACCGGCACTGCCGTCACCCAAAAAACACCAGCTACGGCAGACCTGGTCAATCGGGAGCGGCCAAAGGGGGGTGTCCAAGACGGGGGGGGTGCAAATCAGAACCGGCGGCATGTGCGCGGCCCAGCGGGGGGGCCAGGGACGTAATGAAATAAGAAGAGGCGCCGTGAAATCTGGGGAGATATCATGGCCCACGCCATGATATCCACCCCCCCCTAGTCATCACCCCCCTCTTTTCCGCCCCCGAGTTCAGTGACTCTGGTCAACTCAGGGGCTTCAGGGCCCTACTGCTAATCGGGTCCCCTCACATGGGGGTCCTGGCGATATCCGTGTCGGAGAACGGCCCAAGTCCGAAGACCGCGCGGTGATCCCCCGAATCCCCACCGGCCCACCACGCGGTGTGGTCACCGCGCCGTTGGGGAGCCCCCGATCCGTCGTCGTCGCAGGCGTGAAGGACTCCCGGGGTCTCCCGAGGGCCCCGACGTCGGGGCCCCACGGCGGCGGCAGGGGGGGCGCCCTGCGCTTCCAAAGGCACCGCACCCCCACGCGCCGTGTGCTGACGAGGCGATCTCCCTCCATCCCTCCCCTCCCCTCCCCTCCCCGCCCAGACCCTCTTCCCCCACACCACAATCACTCAGTGTGAATAACTCCTGCCCTCCTCTCTCTCCCCCGAGGATGGCCGGGGAGTGGCCCGAACCCCTCCACAGCATCGCTGTGTTCAAGCACAAGACAGTGCCGAGTTGATCCCCGCAGTAGCGTGGGCCTCATTTTCGGATCGGGGCTTTGATCCCGTCGTTCAGAATTGCGCTCTCGCCCCAGCGCGAGCCATTTCGCCGGATCCAGGTGCTTCCTCATCGGTGTCGCCCCGCTCGTTTCCCCGTCCCCACCTTCCCCTGGTCGTCCTGCTCCTCCCGCTTCTCCCGCTCCTGTGCCTGCTGCTGGTGCTGCTATTCCTCCTCGTCCTCCTCCTCCTCCTCCTCCTCCTCCTCCTCCTCCTCCTCCTCCGCCTCCGACTCCGCCTCCGCCTCCTCCTCCTCCTCCTCCTCCTCCTCCACATCCTCCTCCACCTTCTCCTGCTCATTCTCCTGCTCATCCGCCACCTCCTCCTCCCCGAGTGTGCGGAGCTCCCCTTGTGTGATTGCGCATGACAAGCTCCTGTGGGGGGTTCTGGGTTGGCTGTGGCACCCGTCGGCGGATGCAGGAAAAAACAACACAGTGGGAAGGATGGGTGGGAGGGGTAGGATGTCAGCTATGGCGCCAGCGCACCTAGCTGGCTTGCCTCCCTTCCCTCTCCTCACTTCCCCCCTCACCTCTCCTGCCACCCACCCCCTCCCCTCTCCTCCCTTCCCCCCCCCCTCCCTTCTCCCTACAACCCCCCTCCCCTCTCCTGCCCCTCCCTCCCTTACTCCTCCCTCCCCCCACCCCCCCACGGCAGGAGCAGCGGCGAGTCCCGCCAGTCACAATCGCAATCCCACGCCTGGAGGCGCGGCAACGTGCAAAGACGAAGCCAGGACGAGGATACATTCGGGTGGGGAAAAAGCGAGAATCTCTCTTAGATCCAGCACCTCTGGAGGATGTCTCGGGCGCCGCGGCCTTCTGAGCGCGTTCTGGAACGCCCTGGAACGGATGTGTCCTCGTCCGACGCGCCCCCCCCCCCTCCGCGCAAGCGCGAACGCCTGCGAGAACGCGCCCGGGAGCGCGTCGAGCAACGCGCGCCAGAGGGGCGCGCCCTCGAGCTTCTCCGCGCCCCGGGCGTCGTACCTCTAGGGGCCAAAGGGGACGGGGGGCAGAGTTAAGGCAGCCCCTCCTCGATTTCCTCCTCTCCGCCTCTTCATCCACAGCGTTCTCCTCCTCTCCCTCTCCTCCTCCTCCACCACCTCCTCCCTCCTCTTCTCCTCCTCCTCCTCCTCTCCTCCCTCCTCCTCCTCCTCCTCCTCCTCCACCTCCTCCCTTCCCTACACTCCCTTCTTCTCCTCCCCTCCTCCTTCTCCTACTCCTCTCCTCCTCCTCCTCCTCCCTCGTACCTCCTCCTCCTCCTCCTCCTCTTTTTCATCCGTCTCCTCCCTCTCCACCTCCTCCTTCTCCTCCCCTCCTCCCCTACTCCTCCTATCTCCTCCTCCTCCTCCACCTCCTCCTCCTCCACCTCCTCTCTTAATTCCTCCGCCTCCTCCTCCTTCTCTTTTTCCTCCTCCTCCTCCTCCTCCTCCTCCTCCTCCTCCTCCTGCACCTCCTCGTCATCCTCCTCCGCGTCCTCCTCCCCTTCTTCATCCTTTTCCTCCTCCTTCTCATCCTCCTCCTCCTCCGCCTTCTCCCTTCCTCATTCCTGATAAGAATATACTCTTACTCCCCCCTCTAGCCGGACGATAGCGGCACCATCTGTGCCCTCCAATCCGAACTGAAAAACAAACAATGCAAGGTCGTCGCGTGTTCTCTCAGCATGGCCTTTCTTGTCGTCGACGATGCGAAATGCGTAGCAGGAAAAGGACGCAGCGCACATCGCAAGCGGCCGTCAATCTGGGCCCTCCCACCCTAACTACTACGTCTACGACGATGACGACGACGACGATACTACTACTACTACTACTACTACTACTACTACGACTACTACGACTACTACTACTACTACTACTACTACTACTACTACTACTACTACTACAACTACAACTACAACTACAACTACAACTACAACTACAACTACAACTACAACTACAACTACAACTACAACTACTACTACTACTACTACTACTACTACTACTACTACTACTGCTACTACCACTACTCCTACTACGACTACTACTATTACTACCACTACTACTACACTACGACTACTACTACGATCACTACTACACTACTACTACTACTACTACCACTACTACTACTACTACTACTACTACTACTACTACTACTACTACTACTACTACTACTACTACTACTACTACTACTACTACTACTTACTCCTACTACTAC